AGCCAATGACTTTTTATTTTCCTTAAATCTTTAAGCTTTTAATCTCCAAGTGCAACCTTAGCCCTCATTACTTTCTCAAGGAGTGCTTCCTTTCTCTCCACAGGAAACCCATCTCCCTCAGATCTGAAGTTTCACCAGCCTCCTCTTGCTCTAGCAGGTGTTTGTGGTGACACACCACAGAGGAGGAGCAGGGCCTCCCTGTTCAGACCAGCAATTTGCTTCTTTACTCTTGAGACACCTCTTGGCTCTTGCACAGCAACAGGAAAGCACGTGCTTATTTGCTAATGCTTCTTCATTAATCTCAAAGGTCTATTCCACATCTGGCAAGAGGACAGAGATTTGAAATGGTGCAGGCTGGGGGATCAGAGGCTCCAGTCAGAAGACAGGGTTTTTTTCCTCACCCAGTTTTATCTCATTTCTGAACTACTTCCATTTTCCTTTAACTCCCCTTCCTTGGTTTTAACACTTTTATGCCACCCATGAAAGCAGCACAGTCAGCCTGTGGCTGTTCTCACTTCACAGATCTGTAGCAATGGGGAGCCTGGTCCCTCTCAAGCCCATGCAGAGCATTCAGGCTCCTCATTCACCTCGGAGCTTTGCAGTGAATTCCAACACTATCCTTGTGATAAGGCCACTATTCTCACAGTGTCAACCCTGCAACTGACCCTTCAGTTTTGCTGCCATCCCTTCTGACATGAGAGGATTTTAGAGCTGTCAGGAGTTAATGCTCTCCCAAAGAGGCAGTCCTGCAGGGCCAGAGCAAGCTGCCCACAGCTGTCACCACTCACCATGCCCAGCTCCGCTACACCAATGCACTTTGTAAACACTGCATGAACGAGTGCTAATGCTCCTCTCAAAACCTCTGCTCCAGCAGTGATGAGCTTGGGCATATGTGCAAAGGAGTTGGTGTAGATCCCCACTGTTACTCATCTAGATTTTTACAGGAAGCTCAGCTAAACCTCAGCTGAAGTGATACACATCCTCTGTGAACACTGCCCCAGAAGCTGCCTGAAGAGCAGCTCCCACAGGCTGTTACCGTCAGGCTGCAGATGTCCTCCTGCACCCCACGCTTCCTCTGCAGCAAGTTCTCCATCTCTTTCTGACGAGCTTGCAAAGCATCTTCCAGGTGCTTCTGCAAAAAAGAAGGTAAGGAGAAGAAAGTAAGAAAATAAGGTAAGGAGGCCATTTCACCACTCTACTGTGATTCAGGAACAGTCCCAATTCCTATATCAGAAGGAGACTGCAACAGGATCTCATATAAAGGCTGTGGGGAGAAGCAAGCACCTGATGCACAGCCTTGAGAATTAAGTATCTGTGCATGTAATTAATCCAATTTACTTTTAACACTGGGAGCTCCAGCCTGGGATACCTATTTGCACAAGCTTTAAATGCTGCATGTTATGAAGGGACTGTCTTCTCAAGCAGTGCACCTGGCACAAGCAGCCTTCACCCCCCACCCCCGACTTAGGGACCATATCCTTAAATGAGAAATGACAAAGCTGTGGTAGGAATCAGACACAGTAGTGAGGGAAACAAATGCAAAAGAAAAGTGTTCAAAACACAGACAGCTGTAAGGAAACAGGGAGAGGGACTAATCACGAAGAGACACAAATGTCACTTATCTTGGGTCAGATAAGGCTTCACAGCAGGGAAACTGCCTGTGGGAGGGGTGGTGGCTGCACAGGGCTCGTGTGGCACCTGCCCCCTTCGCCCCAGCCTGGCAGAGGCCACTCACCTGCATCTTGTGCTGGTGCTCCTCGGAGCCGCAGCGCCGCACCTTGTCCACCAGCCCCGAGAGCAGGTAGTGCGTGCGGAAAGCGCGGCTGGGGAACCTGCGGCGGCACTGCGGGCAGGAGGGGCCGTGGGCGCAGCGGTCCCAGTACTCCTGGATGCAGCCCTTGCAGAAGTGGTGCATGCAGTCCAGCATGACGGGCTCGCTGAACAGCTCGCAGCAGATGGCACAGGTCAGCTCCTCCCGCAGGCTGCGGTCCTGGATCCTGCCGGCCATCCCTGCTGGCACACAGGTGGCACCCTCAGCTTCCTGCCAGCAACCACACACAAAGCCCCGTCCCTCTGGACCGGGCCGAACTTGTGCCGCTCCTGCGGTCTGGGGCAGGGTTTGGTTAGCAGACCTCGGGCGGGAGGCACAGGGCCTGCCCAGCTGCTACAGGGGTGCGTGCAGCGCTGGAAAGCCCCAAATTACAGAGCAGCCCTGGCCAAGGGTCACTCCTTTTGCACGGTAACAACTTCTAATTTTCCGTCACTTCAGCAAAACTGCTCAGTGCGTCTGACACGGCCCGGCATTGTGTCCCCACAGGGCCCCAGCGCAGCGGTCACCCGGCCCGAGGGCTGGCAGCACCCACCCACACCCCGAGCAGCTCCCGGGCCTAAGCGGCGCCGCCGCCGCCGTGTGCGGGACCCCTTCGGCTCGAGTCCCGCGGTGCGCACCGCCCACTCCCCTGGAGCAGCCTCGGCCCCCCGCCGTTCCACGAACCCCACCGTGCTGAAACCGCTTAATTTAGGTCCGGTCTAACCCAGTCCTGTCCAGTCGCTCTCCCACCTCCGCCCCCCCCGCAGAACTCAGGGCCACCACCACGCCCCGCCCCACCCCTCCCACAAACTGACGTCCGCCCTGACCAATCACGACGCGGACAAGCCGCGCGCCCACCAGCTCATTGGGTAGAATCCCGCGGAGGGGGCGGGGCGCTGTCCCTGCATGTGACGCGGTCACGTGCGAGCGCGCCGGGCCAGCTGCGGGGGCTTCACGCGGCGTCCGCGGGAAGGCGCGTGCGAGGCCGGAGGGCACTGGAGTGCACTGGACTGGAGTGCACTGGACTGGAGTGCACTGGACTGTCCTGTCGCTGCCCGTATACTGCCCCTGCACTGCCCCTGCACTGGCCTTACACTGTCTCGCATTGCCCCTTCACTGAACAGCTCCCGCACCACTGCTGCATTCAGTAAAGAGCACAGAAATGAGCTCCAGGCCAAAGTCTCCCTTTCTCCCCCCTGCTCACGCTACCTTCAGAACACAGCTCTGGCCAACACTTGGGGGTCACAGCTTTGGGTTACCTCAGAAATCACGAGGGCTGAGGGCTTGTTAGTGAGAGAAAGAAAAAAGGAAGGGTTTTCATCCCTGTGTGGTCACCTGATAATGGGCCCTGCTATGTTGTGGGAAGTTGCAGACACTGGTGGACATGTGAGAAAAATCACAAGAACTTTCAATACCGGAAGTAAAAGCAAATAAACCTGAAAGGAGAGGGGACACAAGGACACACAGTAGCTGCACAGACCATCTGTCTCCTTCCTGACCACCATTAGACCCAAGCATGCCCCAAAAGGGAGACGTGCCAGGCGCTGTCCAGCTCCTGCCCTCCTCCTCCTAGTGCTCTGTTTTCTCGTTACAGCAGTGCAATTAGTGCAGAAAGTATTTCTGTCCATCTTCATTTGCTTGTCTGAGGGATTTTCCCAGGCTTTCTCTTGCACTGTGCATGCTTGGTCACTGGCACGTGGCCACAGCAGCCCTGCTTGCAGGTGTTGGCCTTTGCCTTGTCCCCAGCAGCCCCTCAGGCTCACACGCTCAGCCACAGCCCCATGCTGATGCCTGGACTTGGAATATCACTGCATGCATGAGGAGCAATCAGTCCTGGGGGATGTTGGCCATAGGCAAGCAAGGTGCACCCCTTGGCCTCTGTTGGCCAAGTGACATCCATGGATACCCACAAGGTCAGGCCATGGCCAAGTGGGCTAGCAGCTCCCTCACAGTTATTGTGGGGGTTCAGGACTGCTCCCGCTCTCTGAGCAAGTTGGGTGTTGGCTGCACCCTCCTGCTCCAGTACCCATGGTGGCTCTGGGACAGGGGTGCTCAGTCCCCACTGCTCACTGGGCACTGGGGGACAAGAACTCACTGGACAGGGATTGTTTCCAACAGGCTGAACCTGCTCCTATTGCTGCCCTTTTATCCTTTCCACTGCACAACACAGAAGAGTACCCCTGGGAATATCGCTAGGATGATGACACTGGGACCTAGGGATGGCACAAGGATCCAGGGATGCCTGAATAACCTCCTCTCAGCTGTGACTTCATGCAGCAAAACCTCAGTCCCCACATTTAGATGTTTGTGTTTCCACTAGGCTGGCTCTCACCCTATGAACATGCCAGGGCTGAATGGGAGCAGTGCCAGTGCCAGCCCATCACAGTGGGACAGCGGCTGATGTTACCTCCCATCCTCCTGCCACGTGCCAGCAATCCTGAGAAACAGCTGGCTTTGAACTCGTGGATTTTGGATGGGAGCCGAATCATCTGCTTAGATACATCTTTTGAGAGGGAAATGGCTTTGTCATCTGTGCCCAGCCTCCTGGTTTTGCCACCGTTCCTCTAGGAGTCCTTACAAACTCTGCACAGACACACAGACAAGACTCCAGCACAGGACACACAGCCTGGGGGGAGCCAGGATGCTGCTGCCTCACTTGTTGCAGCACCGTGATCCTTTACTTGTGAGGCTCTGCAGAGAAATAAAAGCATCAATAATTGCTTTTTAGCAGAGATCTGGAATGTGCTGTGAAAGGTTATGTTCCCCCAGCAGCCCAAGCCAACAGTGCTGGGAGATATCCCTGTGCATCAGGATCTGTGCTGTGGTCAGAGCTCATCTCTTCCCATTATTGAGCCTAGGAGGTGACAGCCTCCCTGGGGCACCTTTATGCCCATTGTTTGAGAGACCATAGCTAGATAACTGACGCTTCACCCTAAAACTGCAGAATTTGGGATAGCTCAGCTGATGTCGAACTTCCCCATCAGCTCCCCTTTTAGCCCCAGCTGGAGCCTACTCCTGGTCCCTCTGTGCAGAGTGAAGAGCAGGAGCATCCCCCTGGCATGGTACCAGGCTGGACAGTGCCACCACATACCCTGCCCAGGACTGGCACGGGGCTATGGGATGCTGCTCTCATAGAAGAGATGCTCTGCACCAGAATGTGGAGCTGCCAGCTTGGGTTCATGTGCTGCAGGACATCCTTCAGCACCCAATAGAGTCCTGAACCCACTGATGTATAGATTTTCTCAAATAACTCCCATTGCTGCCAAGAGAACCAGTTGCTCATGTAAAATTGTTTATTTCCATCTTTGCAGGTTTGAGCTGCAAATGCAGATTTTAGAGCCAAAGGAGGAGTGGCACCATTTTACCATGCTCTGCACTAATCTATCAATCCAAGAAGAAAGTTCTAATACCGATAGGGATGTCCTAGTCATGGCCATTTCACTTTCTGGGACATTAACTACAAGGTCTAAAACTAGCAGTGAGTGGCAGTCATTTCTCAATGAACACATCTCCCTTCTGGGGATTGAAAACACACACCCAAGCGTCCTCTGGTCTCAGATTCCTGTTTAAGTGCTCCTGGCATCTCCTTCCTTTCAGCACTCACTTCAGTTGGCAATGTAATGTTTTTCTTTCTTTTTTTAGCATATCCCTCTTGGGAGGCTCCAAGCTCTGGGCTGGGACCTGAGAACGCTGTGTTTGGAGAGTTTGATTATACACTATGGAGGTGAAGGATGACATGGATTGAGAAGGGTTTGGCTCAAAGCACATGGATTGGGTCCAAAACCCTTCACTGTTCTCTGTTCCATGCAATAAATATGTGTTCTTGGAGATGGGTGTCAGAGGAACTGTTTGGCCTTGCAGGAGGAGGGGGATGAAGTGGGAAGTGCAGTGGGTCCAGGGGCTGGGAAGCTTCCCTGGGGTGTCAGTGAAACACGAGGGGAAGGGGAAGCAACTGCTGATCCCAGTGTCAGTCTCTTGTGTCGGCTGTCCAGATGCAGGCAGGGAAATTCCACAGGGGACAAGACGTTTTGCATTTTGATTTCCCTGTTTCACTTTGGTTTGAATGCAAATACACTCTGAGGACTTTGATTCCTCTGGATCTTGCTCTCCTGCAATCTCTCCTGGACGATCCTGTGGCTCTCCCTGAGCAGTGTCCAGCTGTGGGACAGGAGAGGGGAGAGGGGTAAATTGGGGTTGATCTTTTCCTTGTGCTGACCTGGACAAGCCCCAGGTGAAGGACTCTATCAGGGTGAGGATAGGGCAGCTTGAAGCCAGCCCTTCCCACTGCCCTTGGCATCTCTAGTCAGGAAGGATGGGGTGCTGCTGGTCCAGGAGAAATCCCCAGACTCCCATGTTCCCAAAAGCAGTCTGCATCCTAGGAAGATTTGCTTCTGTGGGCTCCTGCCAGCTCTTTCCTGCACTGAGACCAGGAGGGGGAGGAAGTGGAAAGGGATTGCTGTAAACAGAAAGAAAGGAGTGAAAGAAGGAATGAGGTAAATCAAGGTAATAGCAGCATCACTGCTAATGGATATTACACTTCCCTCCGTGACCTCAGCTGCAGGGACATGATTTAGAGGCCTCGGATAGAAAGGCGAGCAGGAAATGAAGCAATGCTCCAAGATATGGTATCTTTGGATAAATAGCTGCAGGAGGAAGGTGACTAGAGGTGGCCATTATTTGCCAATATTTTCTTCCCAGACCCAAATAACATTGCTGTTTTGCTAAAGCCAGGGCCTTCAAGGGTTTGGAGCTTCTGAAGTTGTCTGACTACGAACTGACAGCCATGGTCCAGGTAAAAGCCCTGTAGAGATGGCAAGAGGTGTTGAACAGGTTCAAACCATCCTAAACATGCCATGAAAGGACCCAGGTAAAGTGAGGGCAGGAGTCTGAAGGTTTATGTAATTTTTCCCCTCGTATCCAGGAGAAGGGTTGGGGATCAGCATGGACAAATTCATCTCCTACCACATGGAGGGAGGGAAACAAGGTCTGAAACAGGCAAAGGAGGATGAACAGAGCCTAATTATGTTTGTGGTTTCTTTTTTGTGTGGGTTTTTTTTGTTTGTTTGTTTGGAATTTTGTTTTGTTTTTTTGTTTGGTTTGTTTTGCTTTTTTAACTCAGGGATGCTCAAATAACTCAATCCCAGGGGAGCAGTTTCATGTGCTGCTGAACTTCTCAGCCCTTTCTCCCTCCCCAGGACTCCTTATATGAACCATCATGAGCAGGCCTGTCAGGCAGCCTGTCCTGCCCTGTGAGATTCCCCATGCCACCTCTCCGGGCAGCCAAGAATCCACTGTGTTTGCATTCCACCACCATCCTTCAGGTCCCCACACCCAGGCGCCAAAAACAGATTTCTGCAAATATTAACATTTCTGGATGCCTCTTGTTTGCCTGTTTATCCTGAGCTGTGTGTGAAACCTCTCTGATACTCCACGCACAGCATGGGCTTGGCCAGAGCAGCTTTGTCCTCTCAGCCTTCCCTGTGATGGGTTTTGTCAGCTGCCAGCCCAGTGCTGGTCACTGCGTGCAGGATGCCTGGAATGTTCTTCTCCT